TTATATATATGTATGACCACACGTTATGCTTCTACAAAGCTGAATATATTTTTCCTCTGCCAACGTCTGGACAACATTGTTTCCTCTCCTCCAGGACAGCGCTGCCGTGACAGGCACCCTTCCTCCACAGCTCGCTCAGTTGCCCAGATACCAGGACTGAAACAGAGACACACACAATTCAAATTTACTGTGACATCAGTCAGATCATTCAGCTTTCATCATTGGTAATTAACACACGTCTACATCAGAGCATTAAACACACATTTTAAAAATACCATCAAAGCAAATGTAAACATATAAAACTGATTAAAGATCCCATATAGTGTAAAGGTCTGTGTCCATGTGTAGTGTGATTATAGATCAGCTCTAGCTTCTATATTAATACTGTGAAAGTATCAAAGCCTCAGTCCACAGAGAAATGCACACAGCCTGTATTCAGAAACTGAGCCTTAAAACCAGCTGTCAGGACTTCTGGAACTTTGTGATGTCACAACAAAGCAGTCACCAAGCCCCGCCCACCTGGACCCACCATCCAAACCTTTACAGGATTTGGTTTCTCTGAGTGTTTTTCCCTGAAATCTGTTATATTTTTATTGGATCACTTGGAAAACAGTCAGCCAATCAGACGAGAGGCTCAGAGCCTCCTCTCTTCTGATTGGCTCACTGACCTGTTGTTACTAGAGCTCCAGAGAGAAGCCTGAGAGAGGAGATGTGAAACTACACTGAGATGGTTTTTGGTTCTTAAAACCACAAGTATATCTTCTGATGGATCAACACTTCAAATAAAACACAGAAGAAGAAGAAAACATGGAGCCTAAAGTAATTACAAAGATATAGATATACATGATATATTATTCAGGTATTTATATTTATATACAATCCACATCTCTACTGCAGCATGTGTAAATGATGCGAAGTTATTAATAGAGGTAAAGGGTCTATTTAAGATAATCTCTGTTGTTGTGCCTCGAGTTAACTTCTCCTCAGTCCTCCTGCCTCCACCCAGGTGTCGAATCACAGAGCTCACCTGCGCTCAGCCACCTGCAGCGACCTCTCTAACAATCCTGATTGTTGGTGATGTTGTCGTTGGGTTTGTCGAGCTCCTCTGCGTCATTACACACTGTCGACTTTTTAGAAATAATTCCTGTTCTCGTGACGTTCGACCCTCAATCCAAACTTTAATAACTCACGCGGCCATCAATCACATCACGTCAAGGCAATTATCAATCAATTACAAAAGGAAGTCGAGTCATTTGCCTCTGCACAATAACTGTGTCCCTGTCTGAATATATTATATAATATTTTAAGTCCAGAGATAAACTGTGGGCTGTTCCCAGAGGAGAGTTGACAGTGTGAGGAGAAAGCTGGTGAAATCTCTGGTCATCAATCATAAATAAATGCTGCTCCTGCATCTCACTGTGAGACACGTCCGCTGACAGATGATTTATAGCTTTAGAGATCAAAACACAGGCTGCAGTGAAATCCTGAGAGTGTCAGAAATGTAAGACTGAAACGTCACTGAGTCACTGCAGCTGCAACAGAACGACCAGCCAATGTGAAAACGCAGCATGGGCTGGTGTGGAAAACTCTGGTCGACCCTGACATGTTACAGTCCACACATCTGGAGACACAGCTGTAATCATCCACAGTATTCTAAAGCACACAATGCCAGTGTGATGGTTGTACAGGATTCATGTCACCAGCACTGAAACATTCATTGCACTGAAGCTGAGATTGTATGTGTTGTGCAATGAACCTGCAACCACTGATACTCCATTTTGCTTTTGTTTTTATTTTGTTTTTTTGGGTTGAATTGACCAATGATGAAGCTGCTTTGTGGTATTTTAATTCAGGGGCCCGTTCCCGAAAATCTGCAACATGCAAGTTTTTTATTTATTTATTATACATTTATTTAATTTAAACACATTTCATAGATCGAAACCCAAATAAATGAAATCAAAACTGGATTTCAATCACATTAAAATATCCCTGATAACATACTGAGAACTTATCTCACCGAGTATTTAGTTGTGACAAACTTTAGAAATACAGAGAGAGAGAGAGAGAGAGAGAGAGGGAGAGAGAGAGGGAGAGAGAGAGAGAGAGACATAGAGAGGGAGGGAGAGAGAGAGGACTCCTGGCTCAGTCCTGTTTCTGGAGCAGTGAAACTGCAATGCAGCAGCAAAAACACGGTCCAAACTTAACGCAGAAGGTCCAGCTCTACTTTTCATCAACTCATACTGTCTATATGTTTCTACCTTCACCACGTACCTACTGTTGATCCTCCGGTAAGCTCACCCACACACCTGTAACCTCCTCCTCGCTCACACGCTGACCTACCTCACAGCTGTCTGACTGATACAGTGTTTTCATCAGAAGCTGCCGATCGACGACAACACTCATTGTCTGCCAACCGATGTTTTATTGCCTGAGAGATGTCGGAGTATTTGGACCACGGAGGGTCAGCAGTTTACTGACTGCAGGATGAAATCAGGGATGAAAGAGCAGCTCGCAAAGAGACGAAATCATATTCAAATTTGAGATGCAACTCTTGTCTTTAACTGATTTTTTCCATGTTAAAATACAGTATAATAACCAAGGCTTTTGTTAGGAAGTGGCAGATATACGAGTGGGAACAGATTTGTTAACAGAAGCTGACGGCTCTCAACCCTCCAATAATAATCAGAGTCTTTTAGGGTCAGCTGGATCTGCTCTGAACTGAACTTGACAATGTCAAATAAACCATACTAACCTGGGCTTGGTAGAGTCCACCTGGGTCTCGAGGGGTGACTCCAACAAAGGAGGAGCGATTGGCAGGGGGGGTCCCAGGGGCCGAGTAAGCTGAGGGTGTTGGTGTTATCAACATCAGTCTCTTAATGTCTCTCAAAATGTCACTTGTAAAGTTGCATGAGGCACTTTTAACAAAAATATTTCCATATCACAAAGGAGCTACAACAGAGAACAACAATAACCCCCCCCCCCTCCCCGACTGAGGGATTTACCCTGTCTGATCTCACACTGGTGGGGGTCGAGCTGACTTCACACTGAACACTTTATCTTTTCACTCACTCTCTGGTTGTTTGATTATTAAACCAAATGACACCAAAAAGACCTGAGAGGTATTCCAGATTGTGGAACCGGCAAATTTGCCAAGTACTATATTCACAAATCGGATAATATTATTAAATCCTGATGTTTTTACCCGTTTGTACAACAGGAACTTTGCAATGAAATGTGTATCCACTGCCACAGGTTCTGCTTCTGTCCCTTCTGTTTTGGATCCTGGACTCAGTTTCTGGTCAATGCATGTGTCAGGTACTTTCAAGGGGCGGGGCTTTCGATAGCGATTGGTTAAGCAGTTTTTTTTCCATCTCCACACAGGATCTCTGCAGCTCAGCCAGAGAGACCATCGGGTTCTTGGTCACTTCTCTTACCAAGACCCTCGTCCCCTGATTCCTCAGTTTGGCGTCCGGCTCTAAGAAGAGTCCTGGTTGTTCTAAACTTAAGAATGATGGAGGCCACTGTTCTCTCTGAGCTCTGCAGGCGGCTCCTTCACCTCATGGTTTCTGCTCCGATATTCATTGTCAACTGTGAGACCTGATATAGACAGGTGTGTGTCTCTTCACTGTCCAATCAGCTGAGTTTACCACAGGTGGACTCCAGTCAAGGTGTAGAAACATCTCAGAGACGATCAAGAAAAATGGAGGAACCTGAACTAAATTTCAAGTGTCACAACAAAGTGTCTGAATACTTCTGTCAATTCAGTTTTTCCTTTTTAATAAATTTGTAAAAGAATTTTAAAATTCAGTTTTGTCATTATGGGATATTGAGTGTAGATTTATTATCATGAGGCTGCAACAAAACACAATGTGAACAAAGTGAAGGGGTCTGAAGAGTGAACCCCCCAAAAATATCTAAAGATCTGAACTAGGAAATATGTTTAACTAACGATGATGAAATAATAAAATGATTCTTAAAAAGAAACATTGCAATAATATGTTAAAATGAACATATTATTTTCTAACAGCAAATCAACAGAGGGAGGACGTTAAATTAAACTGGAATTTATGGTCTTTTGATCAGACAAGGCGAATTTTACCTGAGATGTTTACGTCACCTCCACCTGCTCTCCTCTGAGCTGTCGACCTCTCTCTCTCTCTCTCTCTCTCTCTCTCTCTCTCTCTCTCTCTCTCGCTCTCTGTGTCTCTTTGTATTTTCTAAAGTTTGTCACAACTAAAAACATGGTGGTTTTGTAATGATGTAGCTCTCAGGGACATTTTCATGTGATTGAAACCGTGAGTTTCGGTTGACTCGGTCAGAGGAACAGGAGACATCTCATTCTGTCTCTTTTTTTATTTTTATTTCCCATAACGTTTGTTTGACATCTCATCCATTAGTAAAGATTTTAATATCATTGGAATTAGACTTTCTTTTTCATGTGAGGTTTAACTGTGGTGTAAACCTGGTGAACTCACAGACGCCAGCCCACAGTCGTACCAGCTGAGCTCTGAATGAAGTCAGACTGTGTAACGAGCTGCCGCCTCAGTAAATCATGTGCTGAATACACACAAATGACAACATCATGGCACTGGCCCTTTAATATTCATTAGATGTAAATTAAAAAAAAATAATTTGTGGCTGCGATAATTAAATCTCACACTTTATTTAGAGCAGCTCTGTGTCGGGCAGACGTCACCAGAACATGCTCAGGGTGCCGCTGACAGGTCGGCCGGTCGACACGCAGACAACACTCGCTCGTTCATTGTTGTGTTGGATCTTTTCATGGCCACTTTATAGTTTTATATTTAGGAGTATGAAATTGCAAAAGCTCTGTCAGCAGTCTTATAACGTGTGTTCTGTCAGTCTGGAATACCCCCCAGGACTATTTACACTAATACGACGTTTTCTGTTCTTGGATATAAATAAATGTCGGACTATAAGCGATAAAATCTTCTATTCCAACTCCCGTCAGAAGGTCATGTATATACGTCATGTGTTGGTTAGTGTTTTGAGCACTTACTGGGTGACGTTGGGGAGTTTGCTCCCCCGTCAGAGGAGGTGGTGGTGGCCTTCGACTCTGCGGGCAGCGTCGGCCTGGGGAGGGAGGATGGGGGAGGGGCCAGGGAGGGTGCCGGTCCAGGTGGTGCCAACATCTGAGAGGAGATGTAGTGACTGGGCACTTTAATCTGGTTGCTGCCGTTGAGCTGGAAAAAAGAAAGACAACCAGATTTACCTTTAACTCTGCAGCTGGTCGGATCCCAAACATCCTCCGTATCTGTTTCCTACCTGAAGCTGCAGCTCACAGGGAGCGGAAGAGAACAGGTGCTACTGACTTTAACACTAAGTGGTTGCTTATAGACTCATACAGAATCTCATGAACTGACTCGTAACAAACTCAGCTGTTCACTTTGAGCAGGCTTCAGATTCTCCACAAGGGGGAGCTGTTAGGTCTCCATCAGACCACCTCTATAAATCCCAACCTGCACCATCTAAAGGAAAGTGAAGCCACAGCAGCAGCAGTGGAAACCCTGTTTCCTCAGTCTTGGCAGTGTCCGACTTTCGCCTCCTAACCTCCCGGCTAATCCAAAAATGGTCAAAGAGGAGGGGCATGTGAGGAGCTGAGACTTCTGAGCCCTCAGTAAATAACATACATAACTTTACGCCTAAATAAAACGTAAACAGGTGAGTTATATAATCAGTTGTTTTTTGTACCAGGCTGTAAACACGATTATTTCTGCTGTACAGTTGGACATTTTAACATGGGAGTCTATGGGGATTGACTCGCTGTTGGAGCCAGACTCTAGTGGTCATTAGAGGAACTGCAGCTTTTAGCACTTCCATGTTGGACTTCATGTTTGAACTGGTTGTACTCACTGAGCTGGGGGTTTGATTGGCAGGGTCGCAGGCCAATGAGACCAGATCTTTCAGGGGGTCCTGGGCCAGGTGAGGAGGATAGCGGATTGCTCCATGGGGGAAATAGGAGGATGATGGGAAATGAAGAGAGGAGGAGGGGTGGGTACTCCGAGACAGACCTAGACAGAGACGAAGAGAGAGAGAAGAGACATTAAATTAGATTATGTGTGTGTGTGTGTGTGTGTGTGAGTCTTAACGGTCAGGCTTCATCTAAACTCCCCGACCAAGAAGAACCAAGACAAGCAGATGTTTATCTAAATGTGAACACATTAACACCCTGTATGATTCCGTATTCTTGTTTTATTTGTAGCTTTATTTCAGTTTTTATGTCTGTATGTTTGATTTTCCATCAGGAAGTTACTATAATAATGACTTTGTGAAACCGTTATTATATAAAACAACATGATTTCAAACATTTCCTGCAGACGTGTTGCTACAACAGATTATTTAAAGTGTAGATAATTTATTTCAATTAAACTCTCTGACCAAAATCAGCACAGAACATCTCCTTCAGTTCATTCACTTCCTGCAGCTTGTGACGGCGGAGTTACAAATAAGGAGCAGAAACACACACAGCAGGGTGCAGGTCTGTCAGTGATCTGCATGAACTGTATCTTACTGTGACGTTTAGTTTACTGTGTTTACCTGCGTTAAATCACCTGAGGACAGCAGCAGGCTGAGGTGTAAGACGTCACACAACATACATGTGTGTGTGTGTGTGTGTGTGTGTGTGTGTGTGCATGCTACTGACCACTGTGAACAGCTATGACTGGCCGGTGGTGCTGAGTGAAGGAGCCCAGTCTTGGTGAGTCTTCCTGGGGAGAGGGACTGTCCATCTCTGCCTTCTTCACTGGAGGAGACAGACCTGACACACACACACACACACACACACACACACACACACGCACGCGCGCGCACACACACACACGCACACACACACACATTTATTAGCGTAGGGACCCTTTCGTTTGTGAACTTGTGGGTTTAAAGAGCTACTTAACTGTAGCTATAAATATTGTTTTACAGCCACTGCATTATTGGCCTTTTAAACCAGTTTACCACAGTGGACCTTGGAGCCTCAGACCAGAACCTGGACTTTAGCTTTTCTTCAGCTTTAGCACCTCCAATATTTTAATTTGTCTTCATATGTTTAAAATGTTGAAGTATTTCTTCTTCCAAGTCACAATAAGTCACTGGGTGAAACCGAAAGAACGAACAATGAACTCACTGTTCTTTATCTAAAGTGTTGAGCACTGTTAAACAAAGCCGGCAGATAATGATTTCAATCTTAAAGTTACATATTCAGTTATGTCTCCCAGTGCAGACACTGGACACCACCAGTCCGTTACCTCCTTCCATGTCGTCTGTCCAGTTCCTGGAGCTGCTGGCAGGGGAGGAAGGCGAGTGGTAATACTCCCCTCCTGGACTGTCAGCCTCCTCCTCCATAGAGCCAGACTTATGACGTTTACTGCTGCAGACACACATACAGACACATTCACACACGCTCGGACATTTCAGTTCTTTTTTTAAGTGTTTTCCAAAGTGTCTTGAGAAGTGTTGTTGGGGGTGAGTGGCTGGAAGTGTTTCAGCATCTAGTCGAAGTACAAGAAAAAGTAAATACAGATGATTCAGCGATAATTGTCCATAAATAAATCCATAAATGAAAGTGTTTATCCTACTACATTTGACTTTAAAGGATCTTTTCAGCGTCACATCACACGCTGGGCGACTTTTAACAAAACTGAAGCATTAGAGGCCAAAATATCTGGACCTCAAATCCCTGGTCAGGGTTCAATAAAAAACTGGATGTGGATGAGGATCCCATAACGTCAGTGCCCCATTTTCAGTAGTGTTTTTAACCCTCTGTGCCCTGTGTGTGTGTGTGTGTGTGTGTGTGTGTGTGTGTGTGTGTGTGTGTGTGGTTACCCGCTGGATGAGGTGCTGGCCAGTGATCGTCTGAGGCTAACTGGCTGGTTGACAGACTGGTTGACAGACTGGTTGAGGTCATAGGCCAGATGACCCTGGAGCTCCCCCACAGAGAAACTAGGTCCTACTCCTGTGACGACTGGAGCTACACACACACACACACACACACACACACAGACACACAGACACACACACACGGGGATGACACACACACTTTGGTTATGACCTACACACTGAAAACTGAACATCAGCCTCTCAAAACGTGTGTTTCCATCTGTCTGCAAATTTACAGTAAAATATGAAACAACACATGATGTTGGTCAGAAACGATGCAGATTCAAAAACACAACAATGGAAAAAATGAAGAAAACAAATGCTGCAGGAAACAAAAACATAAACACGAACAGCAAATACGCTGCAAATACAGAAACAATGCAACAACAAAAACATAAACACGAACATCACAGCAACATCCAGACGACACAACAGACACACTCCAGGCCTCTAGGGGGAGCTCTAAGTCGAGCACCTTGAGCATAAGTTTAAGTTTCGACCCGGACCTTTGACCTTTGACCAAACGAGAGTTTACATTACAAATGAGCAACAGAGCAACGTAGCAAGCGTTAGCATTAGCTCATATACAGTCCATGTGTTCCACTTAGAGCTCCCCCTAGAGGCCTGGAGCGTTTCCATTGTGTCGTCTGGATATGCAGCGTTTATTGTCTGTTGCATCTGTTGTTGTTTTTTGTTGTTTGTTTGTTTTTGTTGTTGCATCGTTTCTGTATTTGCAGCGTGTTTGTTGTTCATGTTTTTGTTTCCAGCAGCACGTTTTTTCATCTGCAGCTCGTTTCTGTTTTTGTATTTGTTTTGTATTTTGTATTTGTGTTTTTTAATGTGTTTTGCCCTCGTCAGCCACCGTACATTATCCTGACAACACATTTATACTCTGAAGCAACGGTTGTACAGCAGCAGGGAGAGGTTTGTTTGACACCTCAGAGACAGCAGGTGACAACAGGTGTTACCTGAGATTATCACATTCAGATGAAAAGATTCAACCAAAACAAATACACACCTGACTAGTTTATACAAAAAGTTAATTTCACATAAATCACAATGCCATCAGTGTTTCTATAGATGCACTGCACTAACTGTTACCATGGATGAGCTTTTTTTATGACCTCAAACATTTAGGACGTAACTTGTGATGTAAAAATCAGGTGTGACGTGTCATGTGATGCACAAGAGCTTACTTCTTGAAACCTGGACCAGCTCAGTGACACTGAAAACTCCTGATGTCACAAAACTCTCCTGGAACTCAGGACCATCTGTGTAAACACAACAGCAGTTAGACAGTGTGTGTGTGTGTGTGTGTGTGTGTGTGTGAGAGAGAGAGAGAGAGATGTGGATGTACAGCACATACAGTGCTCATGCTTTTAGTTGTACTTGTTTACACTGTATTTCCCTGTATGACACTATGACTGACTGATGACTCCTTTCACTGTGTTTCCCTCTTTTCCTTCAGGACACTAGGATCAATATGAGCTTTGGGATAAAATGTGTTCATAATAATCTGGCAGCCATCACTGAGGTCCAGTTAGTGTATTAGGTCGTAATAGTGTTTGTTCAAATTACTGAACAAACCAATCAGAACAAAGATAATTAACAGCTCATTAAGAAAATGAAAATTGACTTATACTGTACCCATGGTCGTGGTGCGACTGTCCTCCTGATCCGAACCCACTCCTGTACGACTGGGACTGCTGCTCTGGTCTGCCTCTGGAGAGAGAGAGAGGGAGAGAGGGAGGGAGGGAGAGGGGGAGAGAGAGAGGGAGATGGAGGGAGAGAGAGAGAGGGAGAGGGAGAGAGGGAGAGAGAGAGAGAGAGAGAGAGAGAGAGAGAGAGAGAGAGAGAGAGAGAGAGAGAGAGAGAGAGAGAGAGAGAGAGAGAGAGAGAGAGAGAGAGAGAGAGAGAGAGAGAGAGAGAGAGAGAGAGAGAGAGAGAGAGAGAGAGAGAGAGAGAGAGAGAGAGAGAGAGAGAGAGAGAGAGAGAGAGAGAGAGAGAGAGAGAGAGAGAGAGAGAGAGAGAGAGAGAGAGAGAGAGAGAGAGAGAGAGAGAGAGAGAGAGAGAGAGAGAGAGAGAGAGAGAGAGAGAGAGAGAGAGAGAGAGAGAGAGAGAGAGAGAGAGAGAGAGAGAGAGAGAGAGAGAGAGAGAGAGAGAGAGAGAGAGAGAGAGAGAGAGAGAGAGAGAGAGAGAGAGAGAGAGGGAGGGGGAGAGAGAGGGAGAAAGAGAGGGAGAGAGAGAGGGAGAGGGGGAGAGAGATTTGATTAAAACACTTTCAACAATCAATAAATTAGGACAATTTTATTAACAAGACAGTTATCAGATTAATTAAATTATTGAAAAGAAAGAAAGAACGAATGAAAGAAAGAAAGAAAGAAAAAGAGAAAGACAGAAAGACAGAATGTCACAAGAACATGAGAGCACTGAGACCTTGACCTTTGACCTTTGTCCACCAAAATCTAATCACTTTACCTTTGAGTCAAAGTGAATGCTTGTGCCACATTTGAAGAAGCTCGGTCGAGGCGTTACTGAGATATCGCGTTCACGAGAACGGGACGGACGTACCGACGGACGCACAGACGCCGGCGCCGAGGAACAAAAACCGCAAACAGCAACTAGTGTCACCGGTATGAACATCAAGTCTAACTAGCAACCAACAGCAGGAAACGTGATGTCATGAGACGAGCATCAAGTCTTCTGGTTTCCACCGCTGAAAACACAAACACAGAGTGATGATAGAGCTCGTGTTCACACAATGTGCAGTAATGGTCTTTTGAAGACTAGAAGACTTCGGTGGTTTCAGAGTCGAGGTCACTCCGTCGTTTTCCCATTCGATCAGCAGAAATGATCTTGAACCTCGGTGGAAAAGAACGCAGGACACTCTCTCTCTGCTTGTGCAGGAAACCGGTGACGTGTTAGTGACTGTAGCTCTGCCTGTAGAGAATCAGGGAGGCGGTCGGATGGTAAATACTGTCAGTTTGTGTTTTATAAAGGAAAAGTCTTTGGGATCCACAAACTACGCATGTGGGGTAAAAATAACTTCCAGCCCATAATAGTGATATAGAGCAAGACACACAGTCCAACAATGTCTCCAGTGTTACCTTCAGGTCAAGGAGTCGATTCACTTCATTCACATGTTGTTTGTTAATGACAGCACAACTGAAAAACCAGAGAAGAAGAACTGTATCATGAGAAACTAGAGAACATTATGTGATGCCTCTGAAACGACTGTGGGCTGGAGGTGTAAAGGTGGAGGTGCTTCTTTACTTCCAATGAGCTCACAACACCTATCTTTAAACTCCGCCTTCATTTTGACACCTTGAAAGTTTGTGACGTTGCCGGGTTTGAGTCCGACCCACGGCCTCTGGCTGCACGTCAACCAGTGATTACAATATAAGGACAGGAAGAAGCAACAATTAAATCACTTTTTTTTTCTCCATACATTCGTTATGCACAGCGTAATGATGGTCTTATAGTTACCTATTATTAAAAAAAAGCGAAGTTCCTACAGTGTGTAGGGAGCGTGTGCCGACGCAGAAAGAAGAGCCTCCTACCTACAGGGCGGTAGTGAAATAATAATGAGAAAATGAGAAAAATAATAGACAAACAAAATGTTCTGGACACCGAGCTCTTCGCCCTTCGCCCTCGGATTTTCTAGCAAGTTGCATCCTGCATCCAATCTTGATCAAGGTCAGCTGAATCGGAGGAGGAGGAGGAGGAGGAGGAGGAGGAG